TGTGAACGTTTCAGTATTGTCTCTGCACAGAGACCGTGTGAGTTATTTTCTTCACAATCAGTGAAACAACAAGGACCAAACTGGCTTGGGAGGAGGAAAGTGTTTTCCATTTTCTACCTTGGGCCGCTCAATTTCTTTTTCTTATTCAAAGAATCCATTTCCTCGAGCAGTGCCGAGCGCAGATACGTGATGGAGGGCCCTGCATCTCCCCGAAATAAAGGCCTGGACTAATGAGATGCCGAATCCCTCCCGTTAGTGAGCTCTGTCAATTCTCCCCGTAGTCGATGGGCATTGAGGATGTTTGGCATTCACGGGAATTGCTGAATACCTTGCTGGATTGGGCCCCGGGTATCGCAGGGTTCATAAAACAAGGGTGGCTTTTTTGTTTAAGGCTGAAGAGCTGGTAATGTAATTTTGAGGTAAATCAGGCTCTAATTTTTACTTCTTACAGAGAAATCCCAGTAAAGTAGTTGCTGCTGCACAATTAGTTGCTCGTCGTTTCTGCCTTGTTTCAAATTCTTTGCTTACATGTCTCAGCGAAGGGAGTTAGATAACCCCCTTCTCCCAAGCAAACTTGTGTCAGAGCTGTACAGAAAGGTAGTACTTTCTCATTAGTGGCTGACATGATTTTAGCGCTGAACAGATCTATGGAGAATAAATGTCATCTGTTCTCTGGATTTTAGCTGTGGTTTTGTGCATGAAATTCTGTTGACTGGAATAATTTTCATCCTGCGCTTCCTGGCTGGTTCTGGCAAAGCCATACCCCGTGTAGCACTTTGGAGTGAAAGATCTCAATATTTCTATTAGCAAAAGCGTGTTGAATTTCTTGTGCAGTATTGGCATAGTGGGCTTACACGAAGCAGGCAGATGCTGGACCAAAGGAAGTAGTCCATTTGTGAAAAGATAGGAGCAATTTCAGCCTTATAAACTGATATCTTCTCTAATTCACCTATGAATATTCGTCAAGTTTAGCACTTTGCTGCTGTGTATTTAATGGCTGTTTAGGTGAGCCTAGAGTCCTCCAGAGTGGCTGAGGAGGGTGAGTTTGAATTTACATCTCCTTTGCATCTCATAGGTGTACAAATTAACATAGGAGAAAATGATCAGCATCAAGATGATTTAACAAAACTGATTACAGGAATTGATTTATTTGTAATGAGTGCGGTTAAATACCTGACATCGTATTCCTTTCTGAAGACTGTTCTAGCCAAAGGTTTGGTAACACTAACTCGTGGATACCTAGAAATTAATCTGTTTCCAGTTAAAATGTCAGTGCATATCAAATGGATATTAAATAAACCCATGTCTGTAGCTGCTGTGCCATTAAGAGGTTATTCACAGCTACATTTTAATCATATCTCCTTAAACAAAAGTTTTGAGAGTAAATTTGTAAATAACATGCTGCAAGCTATGTTTACGGATGTACTTAGAAAGTGCTGAGGCCCTTGGTATGATTTTTAATTACACGGGCATGGAAAATGTTCGGTTTCGGAGAAAACCACATAGTGCAAGTTGAGGCTCAAGATGTAGAGAGTAAATTTAACATAAACTACACTTGGCGTGCAAGGAGTATCAAAAGTGACGTGTAAAGCAAATTTAACCTTCGCAAATGTAAAACTCTGTAACTCAGCAAGAAATGGTGCTTCTGAAGATTTCTGCATAGATCTTGACAATCTAAGCTGTCTTTCTAACTATATATTTCTGGATAGCTGTACAGAGACATTAGAGGTATGAAATATAGCTTTGCAGCCAAAGTACTAGTACTACGTAAAGGACACAAACTTCCTAATTATTTTTTTTTTCCCTCCCAAGAGTTCCCTATTTATCCAGTTCTAATCTAATCAGTCTCAAGGTCTGCCTGACGTGGCTGGGATTTTGCATCCTGCTGTATGTGGCATTCCGCTTCCCTTGAGGTGTGAATTGGTTCTGGTCCTCTGAGACGAAAATAATAACTGTCCGTTCAATACCCGTTCTGTTTTTTCAGGCTGAAGTAGAACTATTTCTCATAGTTAAGCCAAAAGGCACATAAGCCTTAAAGCTGGAAGTCTGTAGGCTTGGGATAACACCAGGGCAAATGGGAGACGTTGCTTAATACCTAGGTTAAGCGTACGGTAACTGATGCTTTCAGCTTCCAGCGAGGGAAGGAGGGGGCATCGCTCCGGAGCACCTCCTGCCGCATGTTTGCGGTGGCAGGAATGGGCAGGCGAGCAGCTGCTGGTACGGGGGCTCGAGGAGAGGAAAATGGACACTGGGGAGGAAGGATGCGTGGCAATGACCTTCCAACCTGGCGCAGGACAGCCTATTTCCTGAGCTGCTGACTCAAGGGTACAGCAAGCCCTCCCCATGTGTGTCCTTGGTGGGGACTGGGCAAGAGAAAGGGAAACAGTGGTCAGGCACCTCAGATTTGCTGGGAAACGTGCAAAACTTGAAACCTGACATGAGGTTTTTGGTGCGAGTCTGGGAACTTATTGCTGGATCACAATCAAGCATAGCTTGACTACAGAAAAGGAGGAAAAAGCGTGAAGGTTTTCGGTGTTGGTGGTTTGGGGCTTTTTTTCGCTATGGGCAAGTATTATCATTACGCAGAATGCCTGTAGAATATCCTACGTGCAGTAAGGCAGAGCTCTTTTGGTTATCTTGCAATTAGTTTATATCACTTTCAAATGAACACCACTAGACTGAAAGGTCAGCCTTGACCCTGGCTTATTCTGTGCCAGTATCGCCTGCTTAAAAACTCTGGTGGTGGTCATCGCTTTCCACCCCCTGAGGACTTGGCCACTTATTTACAAAAACAACTCTACTGAGAACTCAACTCCTCAGATTTTTTTTTTAGATGAAGACCTAATTGTAAGAGCCTGATTCTGCCTCCTGAAAAACTCCATTCACATTAATTGAGAGAAAGCAGGAGACGGTCTTTTACAACACGTACTGCCGTGCAGGGCCTGATCCTACCACTCGCACGTATCAGGATTTTGGTATCCCTGGACTCCAGGGGAGCTGCTTGCAGGGTGGGATGCTGCCTGGTGTGCAGGTGGTAGAACTGGGCCCCTGCAACGGAACTCCTTGTTATTTTATTATTATCGTGAGGTCTCCAAACTTCACTTGCCTAACATGCTTCTTGATAAGGAATGATCTCTGAAGGCAGTGACCTGGTAACAGTGTAAGGCTCTGGATTTCCCACCTGAATTCATGACACTTTTTTTTTTTTTTTTTTTTAATTTATCATTCTTTGCTTTCCTGTATGCAAGGAGCCAGTAATGTAAACAAACATCACGTCCCTAGCATAACTGTCTCTGACACCAAATCTCTGAAAATTCTTTTAGTACATCCATAATACATGGGCAAAGGCTGCAGAATAAACATAATATTTCTAAGTATTAAAAGACTTTTTTTTTTTTTTCCCCATCCTGGTTGCAAACTAAGCATTGACTACTGTCTTGATGTTACAGATTATTTCATGCTGAAATTATGCCTATTTGCATGGATAGTCATTCTTTAAAACTAGCCACAGATGCAGTCCTAGGGAGCACGTAGATGTTTTTACAGGTGAACCGAAAGAGATGGGAGCAATTCCAAAAAGTCTGCATGCTGCCTTTGGCAATATACCCTGTTATTGTGAAGATTGTGCTCTGTTAAGCAAATGTAAAGTTCAATATTAGATAAGCGTCGCATGAAAAATGTTTTAATTTTCCTCAGTGTTAAATTGTAAGAAACAGAAAAGAGCATCTAGTGCTTTATGTGCAATGTGAGTTTAGCATCACTAGTTAATAAGTCACAAATTATGTCAAGAGCCTTTTACAAAATGCAAGGAAGTGTGTTATCTTTTTATGCTGTGTTCCTGGGAAACAATGAGAGTTCATATAAAGAGAAGGTATCTTCCTTTCTCACGCAGCTGATTGATGTTATTTCTTTCATCTTTCCATATTCTTTCTCATCTTTTCTGCATGTCACAGGAAATAAGATTCTGTGTATTCAAAATATTGCATGTAAGAAGGGCTTCACTGGGCATCTGAGATACTGTTCTTGGAGCTTTTTCTAAAGCAGAGGGATGTGACACTGAACATGCCTCGTTTCTGCTATGCAAAAAATTTAACGTCATGCATTTTAGTGTACGAAATACAGAATCTCCAGCCTTTGGTAGCGGGGCTTGCTTGGAGAATGCAAGTTAAGAAGAGGGAAGGAATGTATGGGGAATTCAAAACACTGTCGTGGCTAGTCACTGCTACATACGAGGCTATGTTAACGAACTACATTTTGGCCTTTATTTGATCACATCTCTGTAAATATTATAATCCCGACCATAAAATATTTTAATGCATTTTTGCTTTGCTGAATAAATGTTTCCCTAATGATTTAAGAGAGGTTTGTTTTGCTTTGTTTTTTTTTTTCCCCCAGTGTAAGCCTAAATGCATCTCTGATTTCTTTGCCTTTCACGTACACATATACTATCCTACCTACAATTAAGTGAAAGTTGTTGTTTTGACCTTCGAATGTTTATTTACCAGTTTTATCTCTCTTCAAAAAGCAAAACTACAATTACAGTTTTCACATCGCAATTGATTTTTTTTTAATCCAAATTTTATACAATTTCTTGTTTTAACAATAAATCTTAAATAAGGAGTACTTTCATCTTCTTTTGTAACATGTATCTCAATGCCCTAAATTTAATCAATTGGTTGTCAGAGGCTGTGTTCTTCTAATCTACTCTTTCTTCTGAAGATAAACAGTATCATTTTAGGCATTTGTGCAAGAGAATCATATTACTGGTGCTTAAGCAGTTTTTGCTTTTTTAAATCTTAATCCATCTTAAACCAGTGGAGCAGAAATATTTAAAAATGTTTCATTTCAAGCAGAGTGCATAATAAATTGCAATAATTGTAATGTGCCATAAATCCCAGAGCCTATGCATTTTGCATTTTATTCAGGATTGAGGTCAGGAAATTTGGAGAAATTTAAAGAAAATGATTCATCAGTCCTTTTGTTCTGTTGGCCAGGGTCCCAGGATTCTTGAGCTGAGCCCAGCTGACAAGCTTTTGAAGATGGCACAATAACAGTCCAGTGATGCCTGACCATGACAGCACAGCCCTCTTAAGCAGGCAAACCAAGAGAAGAAGAGTTGACATTGGAGTGAAAAGGACGGTAGGGACAGCATCTGCATTTTTTGCAAAGGCAAGAGCAACGTTTTTTAGTGCCATGAATCCCCAAGGTTCAGAGCAGGATGTCGAGTATTCAGTGGTGCAGCATGCAGATGGGGAAAAGTCAAATGTACTCCGCAAGCTGCTGAAGAGGGCGAACTCGTATGAAGATGCCATGATGCCTTTTCCAGGAGCAACCATAATTTCCCAGCTGTTGAAAAATAACATGAACAAAAATGGTGGCACGGAGCCCAGTTTCCAAGCCAGCGGTCTCTCTAGTACAGGCTCAGAAGTACATCAGGAGGATGTATGCAGCAACTCTTCAAGAGACAGCCCCCAAGAGTGTCTTTCCCCTTTTGGCAGGCCGACTATGAGCCAGTTTGATGTGGATCGGTTATGCGACGAGCACCTGAGAGCTAAACGCGCCCGGGTTGAGAATATCATTCGAGGTATGAGCCATTCCCCCAGCGTGGCATTAAGGGGCAATGAAAATGAAAGAGAAATAGCTCCGCAGTCTGTGAGTCCCCGAGAAAGTTACAGAGAAAACAAACGCAAGCAAAAGCTGCCGCAACAGCAGCAGCAGAGTTTCCAGCAGCTGGTTTCGGCGAGGAAAGAGCAGAAGCGAGAGGAGCGCAGACAGCTGAAGCAGCAGCTGGAGGACATGCAGAAGCAGCTGCGCCAGCTGCAGGAGAAGTTCTACCAGATCTACGACAGCACCGACTCCGAAAATGATGAAGATGGCAACCTGTCTGAAGACAGCATGCGCTCCGAAACCATGGACGCAAGGGCCGGTGACTCCGTTGGCAGGTCGGACAACGAGATGTGCGAGTTGGACCCGGGGCAGTTCATCGACCGGGCGCGGGCCCTCATCCGGGAGCAGGAGATAGCGGAGAACAAGCCGAAAAGAGAAGGTCCCAAGGAGAAGGAGCAAGGGCCGAACACCTTCCACCCTGAAGGCAAACATTTGGCTGAGACGCTGAAGCAGGAGCTGAACACTGCCATGTCGCAAGTTGTGGACACAGTGGTCAAATGGACCCGGGGCAGTTCATCGACCGGGCGCGGGCCCTCATCCGGGAGCAGGAGATAGCGGAGAACAAGCCGAAAAGAGAAGGTCCCAAGGAGAAGGAGCAAGGGCCGAACACCTTCCACCCTGAAGGCAAACATTTGGCTGAGACGCTGAAGCAGGAGCTGAACACTGCCATGTCGCAAGTTGTGGACACAGTGGTCAAAGTTTTCTCGTCCAAACCTTCCCGCCAGCTTC